ACAAGGGGCGTGTCTGGGTGGTGACGGGAGAGGTGAGCGGTGCCGGGGATTCTGGGACATGATCCAGGAACAGACAAGGGGCGTGTCTGGGTGGTGACGGGAGAGGTGAGCGGTGCCGGGGATTCTGGGACATGATCCAGGAACAGACAAGGGGCGTGTCTGGGTGGTGACGGGAGAGGTGAGCGGTGCCGGGGATTCTGGGACATGATCCAGGAACAGACAAGGGGCGTGTCTGGGTGGTGACGGGAGAGGTGAGCGGTGCCGGGGATTCTGGGACATGATCCAGGAACAGACAAGGGGCGTGTCTGGGTGGTGACGGGAGAGGTGAGCGGTGCCGGGGATTCTGGGACATGATCCAGGAACAGACAAGGGGCGTGTCTGGGTGGTGACGGGAGAGGTGAGCGGTGCCGGGGATTCTGGGACATGATCCAGGAACAGACAAGGGGCGTGTCTGGGTGGTGACGGGAGAGGTGAGCGGTGCCGGGGATTCTGGGACATGATCCAGGAACAGACAAGGGGCGTGTCTGGGTGGTGACGGGAGAGGTGAGCGGTGCCGGGGATTCTGGGACATGATCCAGGAACAGACAAGGGGCGTGTCTGGGTGGTGACGGGAGAGGTGAGCGGTGCCGGGGATTCTGGGACATGATCCAGGAACAGACAAGGGGCGTGTCTGGGTGGTGACGGGAGAGGTGAGCGGTGCCGGGGATTCTGGGACATGATCCAGGAACAGACAAGGGGCGTGTCTGGGTGGTGACGGGAGAGGTGAGCGGTGCCGGGGATTCTGGGACATGATCCAGGAACAGACAAGGGGCGTGTCTGGGTGGTGACGGGAGAGGTGAGCGGTGCCGGGGATTCTGGGACATGATCCAGGAACAGACAAGGGGCGTGTCTGGGTGGTGACGGGAGAGGTGAGCGGTGCCGGGGATTCTGGGACATGATCCAGGAACAGACAAGGGGCGTGTCTGGGTGGTGACGGGAGAGGTGAGCGGTGCCGGGGATTCTGGGACATGATCCAGGAACAGACAAGGGGCGTGTCTGGGTGGTGACGGGAGAGGTGAGCGGTGCCGGGGATTCTGGGACATGATCCAGGAACAGACAAGGGGCGTGTCTGGGTGGTGACGGGAGAGGTGAGCGGTGCCGGGGATTCTGGGACATGATCCAGGAACAGACAAGGGGCGTGTCTGGGTGGTGACGGGAGAGGTGAGCGGTGCCGGGGATTCTGGGACATGATCCAGGAACAGACAAGGGGCGTGTCTGGGTGGTGACGGGAGAGGTGAGCGGTGCCGGGGATTCTGGGACATGATCCAGGAACAGACAAGGGGCGTGTCTGGGTGGTGACGGGAGAGGTGAGCGGTGCCGGGGATTCTGGGACATGATCCAGGAACAGACAAGGGGCGTGTCTGGGTGGTGACGGGAGAGGTGAGCGGTGCCGGGGATTCTGGGACATGATCCAGGAACAGACAAGGGGCGTGTCTGGGTGGTGACGGGAGAGGTGAGCGGTGCCGGGGATTCTGGGACATGATCCAGGAACAGACAAGGGGCGTGTCTGGGTGGTGACGGGAGAGGTGAGCGGTGCCGGGGATTCTGGGACATGATCCAGGAACAGACAAGGGGCGTGTCTGGGTGGTGACGGGAGAGGTGAGCGGTGCCGGGGATTCTGGGACATGATCCAGGAACAGACAAGGGGCGTGTCTGGGTGGTGACGGGAGAGGTGAGCGGTGCCGGGGATTCTGGGACATGATCCAGGAACAGACAAGGGGCGTGTCTGGGTGGTGACGGGAGAGGTGAGCGGTGCCGGGGATTCTGGGACATGATCCAGGAACAGACAAGGGGCGTGTCTGGGTGGTGACGGGAGAGGTGAGCGGTGCCGGGGATTCTGGGACATGATCCAGGAACAGACAAGGGGCGTGTCTGGGTGGTGACGGGAGAGGTGAGCGGTGCCGGGGATTCTGGGACATGATCCAGGAACAGACAAGGGGCGTGTCTGGGTGGTGACGGGAGAGGTGAGCGGTGCCGGGGATTCTGGGACATGATCCAGGAACAGACAAGGGGCGTGTCTGGGTGGTGACGGGAGAGGTGAGCGGTGCCGGGGATTCTGGGACATGATCCAGGAACAGACAAGGGGCGTGTCTGGGTGGTGACGGGAGAGGTGAGCGGTGCCGGGGATTCTGGGACATGATCCAGGAACAGACAAGGGGCGTGTCTGGGTGGTGACGGGAGAGGTGAGCGGTGCCGGGGATTCTGGGACATGATCCAGGAACAGACAAGGGGCGTGTCTGGGTGGTGACGGGAGAGGTGAGCGGTGCCGGGGATTCTGGGACATGATCCAGGAACAGACAAGGGGCGTGTCTGGGTGGTGACGGGAGAGGTGAGCGGTGCCGGGGATTCTGGGACATGATCCAGGAACAGACAAGGGGCGTGTCTGGGTGGTGACGGGAGAGGTGAGCGGTGCCGGGGATTCTGGGACATGATCCAGGAACAGACAAGGGGTGTGTCTGGGTGGTGACGGGAGAGGTGAGCGGTGCCGGGGATTCTGGGACATGATCCAGGAACAGACAAGGGGCGTGTCTGGGTGGTGACGGGAGAGGTGAGCGGTGCCGGGGATTCTGGGACATGATCCAGGAACAGACAAGGGGCGTGTCTGGGTGGTGACGGGAGAGGTGAGCGGTGCCGGGGATTCTGGGACATGATCCAGGAACAGACAAGGGGCGTGTCTGGGTGGTGACGGGAGAGGTGAGCGGTGCCGGGGATTCTGGGACATGATCCAGGAACAGACAAGGGGCGTGTCTGGGTGGTGACGGGAGAGGTGAGCGGTGCCGGGGATTCTGGGACATGATCCAGGAACAGACAAGGGGCGTGTCTGGGTGGTGACGGGAGAGGTGAGCGGTGCCGGGGATTCTGGGACATGATCCAGGAACAGACAAGGGGCGTGTCTGGGTGGTGACGGGAGAGGTGGGCGGTGCCGGGGATTCTGGGACATGATCCAGGAACAGACAAGGGGCGTGTCTGGGTGGTGACGGGAGAGGTGAGCGGTGCCGGGGATTCTGGGACATGATCCAGGAACAGACAAGGGGCGTGTCTGGGTGGTGACGGGAGAGGTGAGCGGTGCCGGGGATTCTGGGACATGATCCAGGAACAGACAAGGGGCGTGTCTGGGTGGTGACGGGAGAGGTGAGCGGTGCCGGGGATTCTGGGACATGATCCAGGAACAGACAAGGGGCGTGTCTGGGTGGTGACGGTATCATTGTGTGTGTCAGGTTCCTATAAGGTGTCAGGATGTCTCTGTCTATCTCTCCATGGAGGAGTGGGAGTATCTAGAAGGACACCGGGATCTCTACAAGGACGTGGTGATGGAGAATGCCCCGCCCCTCACATCACCGGGTAAGAGGAGAGAGCAGTACGGAGGCTCCGCCTACATCCCCCATCATCTGATACACACATAGAAACAATGTATTCAGTCAGTGTGTGTGTGTTTCCTACAGATGGATCCAGTAAGAGGAACCCACCAGAGAGATGTCCCCGCCCCCTGTATTCCCGGGACTCCACCCAGGAAGATCTCACCCTCCCCCACCATGAGAGATGTCCCCGCCCCCTGTATTCCCGGGACTCCACCCAGGAAGATCTCACCCTCCCCCACCATGAGAGATGTCCCCGCCCCCTGTATTCCCGGGACCCCACCCAGGAAGATCTCACCCTCCCCCACCATGAGAGATGTCCCCACCCCCTGTATTCCCGGGACTCCACCCAGGAAGATCTCACCCTCCCCCACCATGAGAGATGTCCCCGCCCTCTGTATTCCCGGGACTCCACCCAGGAAGATCTCACCGTCCCCCTCCATGATCAGGTGGGTGGAGTTGGGGGGCGGGAACATAAAGTGATGGAACGCTCTGACATGTGGAGATGACGTGTGGACTCTACAAGATGAGATCTTCTATGTGATGTCACATCATAAATACTTCTATGTCACAGATGAGACTTTCTGCCGTTCTGTTGGTTTAGGGTGAAGATCTGATGAAGATGAAAGTTGAGGGTGAAGTAGAAGAGACGTATGTGAGGGATGATCAGCGATATACGGAGGAGGCCGGGATGATGAGGACGTCCATAGAGGAGGACACGCCTACAGAGATCAGCACAGGTGGGTCATATTATATTCATCTGGTCCTGCACACAGATTGGTCCAGATTGGGGCGGAGCTAAGGGATATCAGCCAATAATGGGTTGGTTATGGTCACCTCCCTGTACTGATACCCGTCCTGGGGTTCAGCTGGCTGTATGAGGTTGGGTATCACTCCTAGTTCCTGTAGCTCAGATATGAGAACACAGATTGATCCTTTCTTCGGTTGGTTCCTCTTCCAGAAAATTGACTGCAAGCTCCCTCCAGTGCTGCTCATCACCAGAAGCCTCGGCCTATGGTCACTTGTTCTGTGGTGAAGGGTCTACAAGTCTGAACTTTAAACCTCTTGTTTATCAGAGATCACATGACCCAGTGCCTAGGCTTGTGGTTGGGTGGAGAGCATGCTCCTCCCAGTCCCCATTGGCTCCGCCTCTTCTGACAAGGCTGTGTCAATGTAGAAGTGATCTGGGAGGAGGCTCTTTGACGGAAGAGGGGAGGAGTCCCGGCTGGTTGGGACCTCCTCATAGAACATCCGCTCCCTCAGACCTCCTGATCCAGATGGAATGTTGAGTGAAGAGGGGAGGAGTCTTGGCTGGTCGGGACCTCCTCATAGAACATCTGCTCCCTCAGACCTCCTGATCCAGATGGAATGTTGATTGAAGAGGGGAGGAGTCCCGGCTGATTGGGACCTCCTCATAGAACATCCGCTCCCTCAGACCTCCTGATCCAGATGGAATGTTGAGTGAAGTCATCTAACCCTCTCATATCTCTCCATCATGTGTTTCTATGTTTCCAGGACACGCCATGGAGGAACCCTCAAAGGATCCTCTGACTTTATCTCCAGGTTGTAAGATGGAAGATGAGGACATCACAGCAGATTGTGCGGGAGAAGAGACAATGAGCTCAGCTATGGATGGTGGACGTCACAGTGTGGAGAGACCATGGGATCCCTCTGACTCTGAGCGACCTCGTCCTGTGAGGGAAGGTGCCGGAATTCAGGAGACATTGTCCATTCCTGAATGTGGGGAAAGTCTTTCTGTACATCGGAGAACGCACACAGGGGAGAAGGTTTATTCCTGTTCAGAGTGCGGAAAAAGTTTTTCACAGAAGTACAATCTTTCTGTACATCAGAGAACGCACACAGGGGAGAAGATTTATTCCTGTTCAGAGTGCGGAAAATGTTTTTCACAGAAGTACAATCTTTCTGTACATCGGAGAACGCACACAGGGGAGAAGCTTTATTCCTGTTCAGAGTGTGGAAAAAGCTTTTCACAGAAGCACAGTCTTTCTACACATGAGAGATCGCACACAGGGGAGAAGCTTTATTCCTGTTCAGAGTGCGGGAAATGTTTTTCACAGAAGCACAGTCTTGCTACACATGAGAGATCGCACACAGGGGAGAAGCTTTATTCCTGTTCAGAGTGCGGGAAAAGTTTTTCACAGAAGCACAGTCTTTCTATTCATCAGAGATCTCACACAGGGGAGAGACCTTATGCTTGTGATGAGTGTGGGAACAGTTATGTACAGAAGGCCCATCTTACCATACATCAGAAATCACACACAGGAGAGAAGCCCTATTCCTGCCTGGAGTGTGGGAAAAGTTATCCACGGAAATCATACCTTCTTATACATCAAAGATGGCACACAGGGGAGAAGCCGTATTCCTGCGAAGAGTGCGGGAAATTATTTTCACACAAGTCCAGCCTTAACAAACATCAGAGATGTCACACGGGTGAGAAGTTTTATTCCTGTCCTGAGTGTGGGAGGAGTTTCTCGCAGAGCTCCAACCTTTACAGACATCTGAAGTCTCACACGGGTGAAAAGTTGTATCCCTGCGTGGAGTGCGGAAAAAGTTTTTCACAGAAGACCAATCTTGCTGTGCATCAGAGAGTACACACAGGCGAGAAGCCTTATTTCTGTCCTAGGTGTGGGAAAAGCTTTGCAGATAAGTCCTGTTTTTTAAGGCACGAGAGAAGGCACATGGACAAGCCTTATTCGTGCCCTGAGTGTGGAAAAGGTTTCTCAGATAAGATCAGTCTTTTCAGACATGAGATATTACACACGGGTGAGAAGTCATAGTCTTGCCCCAAGTGCAGAAAATGTTTTACACAGAAACCAGAACTTGTTGCACATCCCAGATCCCACAATGGAGACAATCCATATTCCTCCCCTGAGTGCGGGAAATTCTTATTGAAATTCTTCTTCACATACATCAGCCTTCTCACACGGGTGAGAAGCCTTATCCCTGTTCTGTGTGCTGCAATTTTTTTATATACGGAAGTCCCATCTTAATGTAGAGAAGACACGTGTGGGAAAACGCGTTTCTCCCACCCAGAGTGTGGGAAACGTCCACGGAAATCTGAACTTGTCCAACATCAAAAAATTCACTCGATAGAAGCCGTACTTTTGCCCCGAGTGCGGAAAATGTTTCATCGACTCCATGGTGTTTCAGCACTTTCGGTGGCCTGCATTTTGATCAGGACGGACAACGGTCACCTTCTAGTTGAAAAAACTATTTTAGAGTGTTTATTTGACAGGAAAAGACAGATCTATAGTGTTCTGACTCCATACAAAACATTACCCGGCCGCATTTTGATCGGGAGAGACACCAAGTAGCTCTCAATAAAAAATATTTACATTGACTTTTGTTATTTCATTAATAAAGGCTGAAAATTATTTTCGGGACTCCATACACGGCATGTAAGCCCTTTTATCAGGTCTCAGTGTAGTGGGATAGAACCGGTCGCTCCCATTCCGCTGCCACCTGGTTAAAGGGCTTACATGGAAGCCGGGTTCTAATGAGGAACTCGCAGTCTGAGGACACTATCTCACAGAGACCAGAAGTCATTGTGATTGCCGGAGCGGTGGAATTGGCTACAAACTATGGACCACAGAGCATGGCCAACACTATACGTGACCGGCTGAAGGAACACGATGTGTGGCACCTTGACCGATCCCAATCACCAGAGTATGCCGAGAACATGACCACAGCCATGGCTCTGCTGCTTACAAACGATGTGTGGCACCTTTGCAGAGCACCGGAATAGGGCAGTGGAGGCATGGTCATGGTGGACGGCCATCAGCGGTGGCAGGAGAAGGTTATGGTGTCAGGTCAACTGTGGTCAAGAAACCGGTTATGGTGGTAGGAAATGATGGGAAGATAGGAGATGGCAATGGTGGTAGGCCATCAGCGGTGGCAGGAGAAGGTTATGCTGTCAGGACAGCTGTGGTCAAGAAGCCGGTTACGGTGGTAGGAGCTGATGGGAAGATAGGAGATGGCAAGCCATCAGTGGTGCCAGGAGTAAGCCGTGAGTTATAATAATATTTCTGGGACCAGATTCTAAGAAACAATTGATTTGAAGGCCACCACTTCATGGGTTGGGTTCTCTTTGCCGATCCTGGACTGGTTCGTTTTGATAGAAGTGAGTCAGTCGACTGTGTCGGGTACCTGGTGGGTTGGTCTCTATGCCAGTATACTACCCAATGCCCTTTCTGACCGCACACTGGCCACCGGACGGACCAGCAGCTCAGTTGCATACCGGACAGCCCATGACCAGTGGTCCAGCCTGGAAGCTCAAAAGTCCAGGAAGTCCTTCATTGAGAGGTCATCCAAATGCACCCTGAGCACCGGGTTAATCTGAGACCATGGGATAGGCACGTGCCTATGACTGCTGCCAGCGGGCAAGTTGTGTTCTAAAGGGGAAGTGGGCAGGGGGGAGTCTTCTCTGGCCTTTGATGCCTACAGGTATTATTGAAGTGGTGCCCTCAACAGGCTTTGTGGTGTACAGCCATGGAATAGGATGGCTGCTCCCGAACCCTTATGGAAGATGTCTCTGCCCCGGACAACATTCTGCCGTGCTTATGGTGTGCCTCTCCCTCACTTTCTCCTTCTTCTTTGTTAGGCACCCACGTATGTTCTGCCACCTCATCATCCTCACCTTCCTCATCATCATGCCTGTTGTCCCCCCTCTCTATGTTCCCATCGTCGGTGTCAGTGATGGTCAAGTCTTTCCTCATCTCACCATTGGTGGTCAGAGGTTCTACTGACCTAATCGCACGTTCCTGCGTTACGGTCTCTCGGAGATTCAATTTCACTATCAGAATGGAGATCACTCGACTCCAAAAGTCCGCTATGAAGGAAGTTCCTGCTGATGGAACCCAAAGGGTGTTCCAGAAGTCAGAACCGCGCCGTACGGTGTCCTGGAACCTGCGAGAAGAAGACACACGGGGACAGGAGACAAAATCCCGGGACTGTCCTACAGCATCTAGAACACCTGGTACAAAGGACAAGGCCGCTTCACACTTCCAGATGTCTCCAGGGGCTGAATTTCCTCTGAGCTCCACAAGGTGGTGACCTCACCTAGACCCAGGCAGGAAGTCTCTATGGAAAGCAGACAGGAAGTGATGTCAGATATAAATAGGAAGTTCTGGGTGAGAGGTGACTCGGGAGGAAGTAGAGAGACGTTGTTGGAACTGGTATCCGAGTGTTCATCAAAATGCTTCCACTGAGGCGGAAATCAAAAAGAAGATTCTGGAAGTCTCCAGAAAGATCATAGAGCTGCTGACGGGAGAGGTGAGCGGCGCCGGGAATTCTGGGACATGGTCCAGGAACAGACAAGGGGCGTGTCTGGGTGGTGACGGGAGAGGTGAGCGGTGCCGGGGATTCTGGGACATGATCCAGGAACAGACAAGGGGCGTGTCTGGGTGGTGACGGTATCATTGTGTGTGTCAGGTTCCTATAAGGTGTCAGGATGTCTCTGTCTATCTCTCCATGGAGGAGTGGGAGTATCTAGAAGGACACCGGGATCTCTACAAGGACGTGGTGATGGAGAATGCCCCGCCCCTCACATCACCGGGTAAGAGGAGAGAGCAGTACGGAGGCTCCGCCTACATCCCCCATCATCTGATACACACATAGAAACAATGTATTCAGTCAGTGTGTGTGTTTCCTACAGATGGATCCAGTAAGAGGAACCCACCAGAGAGATGTCCCCGCCCCCTGTATTCCCGGGACTCCACCCAGGAAGATCTCACCATCCCCCACCATGAGAGATGTCCCCGCCCCCTGTATTCCCGGGACCCCACCCAGGAAGATCTCACCATCCTCCACCATGAGAGATGTCCCCGCCCTCTGTATTCCCGGGACTCCACCCAGGAAGATCTCACCATCCTCCACCATGAGAGATGTCCCCGCCCCCTGTATTCCCGGGACTCCACCCAGGAAGATCTCACCATCCCCCACCATGAGAGATGTCCCCGCCCTCTGTATTCCCGGGACTCCACCCAGGAAGATCTCACCATCCCCCACCATGAGAGATATCCCCGCCCTCTGTATTCCCGGGACTCCACCCAGGAAGATCTCACCGTCCCTCACCATGATCAGGTAGATGATGGACAGTTATTGGTAGTTATAGGTTATACAGAAACTTGTGGGTTCCAATGAATGTTTTATTTTCTTATTTTATCTTCAGAGTGGAATCCTCGGGGAGAATATTATTAAAGAAGAGTTTAAAAAGGAGGATGAGGAGTACGGGGTGATGAAGGAACCTTCTGAAGGACACATGGAGAGTGGAAGCCTCATGAAGATTAATATTGTAAATGAAAAACACAAAGATGAGGAGTACGGGGTGATGGAGGAGCTTTCAGGAGGACACACGGGTATGATGGACCAACCAGAGAGATGTCCTCGCCCTCTGTATTCCCGGGATCCCACCCACGAAGATCTCACCATCCCCCGCCAGGATCAGGTGGGTGGAGTTGAGGGGCGGGAACATAAAGTGATGGAACGCTCTGACATGTGGAGATGACGTGTGGACTCTACAAGATGAGATCTTCTATGTGATGTCACATCATAAATACTTCTATGTCACAGATGAGACTTTCTGCCGTTCTGTTGGTTTAGGGTGAAGATCTGATGAAGATGAAAGTTGAGGGTGAAGTAGAAGAGACGTATGTGAGGGATGATCAGCGATATACGGAGGAGGCCGGGATGATGAGGACGTCCATAGAGGAGGACTCGCCTACAGAGACCAGCACAGGTGGGTCATAATATATTCATCTGTTCCTGCACACTGATTGGTCCAGAGTAGGGCGGAGCCGAGTGATATCATCCTTGGGTTGAGTTGGCAGTATTGGGTTTTCACTCCTAGTTCCAGAAGCCTCGGTCTATGGTCACTTGTTCTGTGGTGATGGGCCTGAAATTTGAACCACTTGTTTCTCAGAGATCACCTCCTGATCCAGATGGAATGTTGAGTGAAGTCATCTAACCCTCTCATATCTCTCCATCATGTGTCTCTATGTTTCCAGGACACGCCATGGAGGAACCCTCAAAGGATCGTCTGACTTTATCTCCAGGTTGTAAGATGGAAGATGAGGACATCACAGCACATTGTGCGGGAGAAGAGACAATGAGCTCAGCTATGGATGGTGGACGTCACAGTGTGGAGAGACCATGGAATCCCTCTGACTCTGAGCGACCTCGTCCTGTGGGGGATGGTGCCGGAATTCAGGGGGAGAAGAAGTTTTCCTGTCCTGAGTGCGGGGAAAGTTTTCTTTATAAATCTGATTTGGTTAGACATGAAAGGTGTCACACGGGGGAAAAGCCGGTTTCCTGTTCTGAGTGTGGAAAAAGTTTTCTTCATAAATCAGAACTGGTCAGACATCAAAGATCTCACACAGGTGAGAAGCCATTTTCCTGTTCTGAGTGTGGGAAAAGTTTTACACAGAAGACCCATCTTCTCAGACATCAGAGGTTGCACACAGGCGAGAAGCCATTTTCCTGCTCTGAGTGTGGAAAAAGTTTTCTTCGTAAATCAAAAATGGACATACATTACAGATCCCATACAGGGGAAAAGCCGTATTCCTGCCCTGAGTGTGGGAAAAGTTTTTCAGATAAGGACAAGCTTTCCAGACATCAGAGACTGCACACGGGCGCAAAACCATATTCCTGCCCTGAGTGCGGGAAAAGTTATAAACAGAAATCAGACCTTGTTGTACATCAAATATCTCACACTGGGGAGAGCCCATATTCCTGCCCAGAGTGTGGGAAATGTTTTTCACAGAAGTCCAATCTTTCCGTACATCAGAGATTGCACACGGGGGAAAAGCCGTATTCCTGCCCTGAGTGTGGGAAGTGTTATCCACGGAAATCAGACCTTGTTATACATCAAAGATCTCACACAGGGGAGAAGCCGTATTCCTGCCCTGAGTGTGGGAAGTGTTTTTCACAAAAGTCCCTTCTTTCCAGACATCAGAAGGTGCACACAGGCGAAAAGTTGTATGCCTGCCCCGAGTGTGGGAAAAGTTATACACAGAAAATAGAACTTGTTACACATCAAAGAGCTCACACAGGAGAGAAGCCTTATTCCTGCCCTGAGTGCGGAAAAAGCTTTTCACAGAAGACGAATCTTTCCACACATCAGAAACTGCACAGGGATGAGAAGCCGTATGTATGCTCTGAGTGCGGGAATCGTTATATACAGAGATCAGAGCTCCTTAAACATCAAAGATCTCACACAGGGGAGAAGCCGTACACCTGCCCTGAGTGTGGGAAGTGTTTTACACGTAAGGGAAATCTTACTGAACATCTGAATTGCCATACACAGGAAAAACCTTATTCCTGCCCTGAGTGCGGGAAATGCTATCCACGGAAATCAGGACTTACGAAACATAAAAAGACTCATAGAGGGGAGAAGCTGTAGTCATGCCCTGAGTGTGGGAAATGTTTTTCACATGTCTTATGAGAACTCACACTGCCCTCCAGGTGTGTTAGCATCCCAAGTGTGGGAAATGTCTTCAGAGATCTGACACTGGGAGGAAGCACACCTCAGCCACTTTGCAGATGAAATGTTATTAGAAGAAGTTGCTGTTCTCTCTCTGGAATGTCTTGTGCACTCTGCTCATATTTTCCAGAGATAGTCCGGGTCCTGGTCAGGCTGAGGCTCCATAATAACAGAAATCAACTCTTCATGAGTTAACACGTGAGGTGCCTGAGGAGGTCCACTATGGTGTCCGTCCATGGTCCAGAGCTTGGCCTACCACTATGATGAAGCCTTCAGAGCTTGACTGGTTTAAGGATCTCCGCGTGTTACTTCCTCTCCTCCATGATCTTCATTTTTACTTTGTAACTTTTCTAAATAAATGCGGATTCCAAAGTGGAAAATATCCAAACATCTGTACAAATGACCAAATATTCTATCCTAATGCGTGATCGATACGTGTGCGCTCAAACCCTCAATGGGGACCAATCTCTTCGTTCCGAGAGAGAGCCACAATCAGTGTGGAAACATCCAAAATTCTTATTTAGGCCTGTGATACGTTGCGCCTGTATTCGTCCTCCCCACACCAATAATTTGTTGTGTGACAAACGCGCCACGATCGCTTAGCGTGGCTCTGAGTCATTGTGACAAGTAATAGGCCAAGGTAAGTTGGCCGTGTTTGTGGGAGGAGTTGCGGCGGCTCTCCTCCCCTTAAGAAGGGGGACGGTGAGCTCCTAGGCACGTCACGGCGAGGTCGCGTCTGACCCTCCCGCCCGCCCTTCCCCCCCAGGTTCTATCATTTCACTAGAGCGTGCCCCCTTATTTGGCACGCTGACCACAAAATCATGGCACACGCCAGTAGGGGGGTCATGAAGACGTCGGAGGCCTGAGTAACTCCGACCGCAAACGTAACACAAAACAAATACAGCAACCTAGTTGCAATTAGACACGCGCACTGCCAAAAAATTCGTTTCGTTTTAAATTCGGATTTGTGTTTTTTCGGGATTCGGGTGTGAAAGTCGATTCGAATTCGGATTGGGACGAAATGCGGTAGCGGTATTCCGAACTTTCGTTTTCGGGATTCGGGTGTGAAAGTCGATTCGGATTCGGAATTCGGATTGGGACGAAATGCGGTAGCGGTAGTTCCAACGTTCGTTTCGTTTTCGGGATTCGGGTGTGAAAGTCGATTCTGAATTCGGATTGGGACGAAATGCGGTAGCGGTATTCCGAACGTTCGTTTTGTTTTCGGGATTCGGGTGTGAAAGTCGATTCGGATTCGGAATTCGGACGAAATGCGGTAGCGGTATTCCGAACGGTCGTTTCGTTTTCGGGATTCGGGTGTGAAAGTCGATTCGGATTCGGAATTCGGATTGGGACGAAATGCGGTAGCGGTATTCCGAACGTTCGTTTCGTCTTCGGGATTTGGGTGTGAAAGCCGATTCGGATTCGGATTGGGACAAAATGCGGTAGCGGTAGTACGAACGTTCGTTTCGTTTTCGTTTCTTATTCGTTTCGTTCGTTCGTTTGCAGCAAAAGTGACATTTGAGGGGGGGGGGGGAGGGAATATTTTTCTCCTTCTCTGACGTCACTTTGCTCCAACGAGAACGAGACGAATAAGGACCGAAAACGAAACGAACGTTCGGACGAACTACCGCTACCGAATTTCGGAAACGGAAATTGGGATTCGTTGGCATTCGTTACGTCTGTCATTGGGAATTCGGATACGTCCGAAGGTCCGAAATGAATTTCGATTCGGGACGAAACGCGTCGCACGCGTCTAAAGTACAATGTATTTTTTTTTTTTTTAAAGCACACATTAATAATATAAAAAAGGGCAAACGTGACCACAACCGATCGAAACATTTTAGGGAAAAGCATAACTGCAATCCGAAAGGAATACAATTCATGGGCCTTGATGGAATGTTCAAGCACTGGAGAGGAAATCATACGAAGAGAGATATCTCCAGGAATGAAACTAAGTGGCTCTACCTGTTGGAGACGATGACGCCGAAAGGTCTGAATGCCGAATTAGGACCGAAACTGCTTCTTATCAAACGATTAGGGGAGAATAGCAGATTACATTATGTGTATCACATCGGGTCTGATCACGGAGAAGTAAGCCCCCCATTCACACCTAGGCGTATTGTAATATGCGCGTCTGTCGCGCGACCGTCACGCGGTTTTTTTACCGCGATTCGCCCTTTTTTTCATTTTTTGCACCCGTGTTATATTCCACATTTTAGGCCGGAAAATGACTTAAAACCCCCCCCC